AAGAAAGTTACTGGTGGTCTGGTATGAAGAGAGAAATAGCCGAGTACATCAGTAAATGCCTTACTTGCCAGCAAGTTAAGGCAGAACATCAGCATCCAGCGGGGTTATTGCAGCCACTTTCCATTCCAGAATGGAAATGGGAACACGTGACTATGGATTTTGTGGTAGGGCTACCACGAACTGTGAGGAACTATGATGCCGTATGGGTTGTGGTTGATAGGCTCACGAAGAGTGCACATTTTTTACCTATCAACACTACCTATGCACTTGAGAGATTAGCCAAATTGTATGTGGATGAGATCGTGAGGCTACATGGGGTTCCTATAACCATTGTATCCGACAGGGATCCACGATTCACATCACGATTCTGGCCGAAGTTCCAGGAGTCCATGGGAACGAAGTTGAAGTTCAGCACTGCTTTTCATCCCCAGACAGATGGGCAATCCGAGAGGGTTATACAGATTTTGGAGGATATGTTGAGGGCTTGTGCATTGGAGTTCCAAGGAAGTTGGGACAACCATTTAGCACTCGTTGAGTTTGCCTATAACAACAGTTATCAGGCAAGTATCGGCATGCCTCCATACGAAGCATTGTATGGGAGAAAATGTCGTACACCGTTGTGTTGGGATGAGGTTGGCATGGCCAAGCTCGAGAGCACGGAATTGGTGGAGATCACCAAGTCAAAGGTGAAGGTAATTCGAGAGAGGCTTAAGGCGGCCCAGGATAGACAGAAGAGCTATGCCGATAAGCGCCGGAGAGCCTTGGAATTTCAGGTGGGGGATGAGGTATTCTTGAAAGTTTCACCTTGGAAAGGAATCATCCGGTTCCAAAGCCGAGGGAAACTTAACCCACGATACATTGGGCCATTTGTGATTCTTGAAAGAATCGGGGCCGTGGCATACCGATTACAGTTGACTCCAGAATTGGAGAAGATACATAACGTGTTCCACGTGTCTATGCTAAAGAAATATGTACCGGACCCGTCTCACGTGTTGGAGAAACCACCCGTGGAGATACGGGAGGACTTGAACTATACCGTACGACCGGTGAGAATACTTGATAGGCAAGTAAAGAAACTAAGGAGCAAGAAAGTTCCAATGGTTAAGATCCTTTGGAAGAGTGACCGAGTTGAAGAAGAAACTTGGGAAACAGAAGCCTTGATGAAGGAGCAATATGCATTTCTGTTTGAATAAGCATTTGTGAATTTCGGGGACGAAATTCCCGTTAAGGGGGGGTGAACTTGTGACACCGCACCCGATTGTACTTGAAATTTAAAGACGATATGTATTTGATTTTCCTAGCGAATAAAATTCGTGTAATTGATCGGTGTATTTAATTAATGCATGATTAATTAAATTATATATCGGGTCCATTATATGAGAATGGGCTACCAAATATTTAGTTGGGTTATCATAATAATTATGGTAGCCAAATAAAATGCCAACCGAAGTTGATAAAAATAGTTGGACAACCCGAGCGCTATTTTGACCCGGCCGGCCAGAAATAGCAGGAATAATTGGGCGGGACTTCCTACACCCACTTGGGGTATCCTACACCCTAATTTGACTCAAATAATGAGGGAGGAGGGGCCACACATTTTGACTTGTGCGTGCAAAAGAAGGAGGGGAGCATCATGGAGACAAAGTCCACACACCCCATGTTGGACTTGTCTTGGGAGTGATTTGGTTGAGGATAGATATCCTCTCCTCTCATTTTGAGCCATACGAACCATCCAAGAGGAGGGAGAGCTCAGGGAGAAACTCTCACAAAGCTCCAGCCTGAAGGAAGCACCAACAAAGAAAATCCAAGAAGAGAAGAGTGGTGTTTGAGGTAAGAACTCAACAATCAAGCTCCTAACTAGTATTTTCTTGTACGATTTTTAAGAAATCATATGATGGATTAAACATGAGTTTATACACGTTTAAAAGCGTATAATATTGATATAAAGTGGTGGTAATTAACTTAGAAGAGTTGGGGAATCGATAGGAGCCAAAACCATCGGAAACCGCCACTTGAAGGAGGCTGTTCGTAGCTGCAGACCACGAAAGCCGCCCGGCTTTTGGTGAAAGCCGCCCGGCTTTGGGCTACTGTCCAGGATTTTTGCCTTCAATCGGCCTAGAACGGGGATTGATCGAGGGGCTTAGCAAAGGCAACTATTGTAGCACATCACAAGGTGAGGATGGCTGACTATGTTGTTTATAATCTTTGGGTTAATTTCGTAAGATTACCTAAAGTAATTAAATGTTATTTTCATGGATTATTAATGATTAATAATGCCTAAATGAAAATATTGTTGTCAATGAATAAAGGAGCATAATATACAAATTTAAGGATAAATTGTGTATGATTATGTAATATGAGCATATTGGCTTGATGAAGGGATTAACTATGAATATTATGTTGAAATATAATTTTAACTTCATATAAGGATATATGAGTGATTAAAGATTATATTTTGTATATTGATACGAACTATATTTTCAATGGAAAATTAGTTTGAGAATTGTCTATATGACTATGAACTGAAATGAGATTTTGTTGGAATTTATCCGACTAGTATAATGATACTAGTCGGGGTGTTGGAATGAAATATGTTAGAATTGATCCAAGGTTTGGATTGTAAATTGTTGAGCCTTAAGTAGTCTTAAGAGATACTAAGGTGGATAAGTGATGCTAGGGGTAGGCCTTAAGGGATACCCAAGATAAAGTGAATAATAAATTGATCCTAGGAATAGGATTGGCCTACGGGTGTATTCGGTAGTCTTTAAGGATTAACCGATAGAGTATTGGTAATTAGTAAGGACCATGGCCCTTCCCGACTCTAGAGAGCGGGGTTGGATAGCATGGACTTACATCGTGATCACGGGTTAGGGTGGAATCCGAACCGGAGACCTTACGAGGCTCCCGACAGCGGTAACACATAAGATAGGACCCCGAATGGACCTTACCTTCCTACGGGACGATGGGTATGAGTTCAGGGGCGGGATGTTGGACTCCGGCCCGGGGACCCGGTGAGGCCTCGGAGAGCGGTGACAAGTCTCGTAAAGAATGATAAGACCTACGGGCGGTGTCGTGCTAACGACGGGTATAATGAAATATATGAAATGGGCCGTGTGCCGACGAATAAATAAATTTACTTATTATAGAGATAATAAGTGGGAAATATAAATTATTATTTATATTATGATATCACCCTATTTTGAGGGTCTTAGAAATTGAAACATTGATTATACTCGGTATAGTTGTCATTGTACTTGTCAAATGCTTCCAAGTACTGACCTCCCCTTCACGGGGGAGGCCACCTCACAGTTTCAGGTAGGGAGTAGAGCTTGCTACCAGTGCCCGTTGCCTCGGGAAGATCTAGGAAGGAAGACGTGGTTCGTGCTTCCTCCGTCTCTATTTTAAAAACATTTCAATTAATGCTCATGGATATTTTTGAATGATTATTGGGGCTTGTATGCCCATGTTTGCCGGAGTGTGGCATAAACACTTGTATTAAACGTTTCCGCTGATTTCAATTGATTATTTTACATTATGTTTGTTTATGGATGTACTATTGTGAATGATATTCAAGACGCCTAGTATAGTATGGATGAGTTGGACTGCGGTTGACTATTCGTACTGTACGGCGGGTTGTTGACGTGTCCGGTAGGTCCGGGGCGTGACAAACACTGACCGAACTTCGATCAAGAAAGATCGAAATCGGAAATAACCTAGCGGCGGCTATGCCCTAGGAGGAAGTTCGTAATTCGCTAGACTTCGCATAGCATAACACGTTGAACATAGAAAACTTGCTATGTGAATACTTGGAACATGATAAATACGAAGTATATATAAACTCAAAAATCTATCATTTTTTACGGATCCACTCTCTTCCCATTTTCTCTTTTTTTCTTACTTTTTTCCTTCTATTCGTTCCACCTTCCATCTTCACTATCACCATTTTTTTTCATAATCATTTATCAACTTCATCATCTTTCATCTTACGTCATATTTAACTCTCATATTCAATCTTGTCCACTTCATCAGAAAAACAATCTGAGATGGACAATTGCCACAAATTCAACTGGAGATTGACAACTTTATTGAATATTATTTGTGTCATATGCATGTAAAATATTATTTGTGGCATTTGTGGACTATTTTCTATGTAGGGCTAAAGTTTCTTTGTGCGAGTTATATACTCTTTGTGTGTCATGTTATATATAGTCGGTGTCATTTTAAATATTTCTATGTCATGTTATATATTGTCAGTGTCATCTTAAATACAATAACAAATAAATACAATAACAACATCAACAGCACAATAGAAATCACAAAGAACATGTCTCCAGATGACCCACGATGAATTTTGTGTCGGAAATTGCATAGACTGACCGCTGTGACATATTAAAGCAGGTCAGACAATTTAGTGAGCTATTTCGCTTTATTCCATTATATTCCCAAGACAAAAAATAGTGAGTCATTTGCCTCAGTTGGAAATGATGGACTCGACAAAGAAGATAAAGTAACGCACAACTGATGAGTGATAATATCATCAATGTATAAGAAAATATATAAGTAAAATGATTGTCAATAATTATAGTACAATTACAAGCTTCAACAAAGAAGTGAGAGCTAAGTTATTCTAATGCATTATACCATTACCTTATGCGCATAGCACCATTGTCATGCACCCTAGTGTCCATACACATTATGTAAGATGAAGATGAAAGATGTAACTGTGTTGTGTAGGAAACAGGAAAAATCGGAATTATACCATAACATTCAAAGGTTATGACAGTTGAGCTTGGTTTTGGAGAGTTTTCCATTGCATTTCGCAACAACGAATTAGTCATTTCCACTATCAGCTTTAACTTTTAAATCTTCCATTTAAGGTGCATAATATGTATTTCTTTTCACTTTTAGTCCTCCCACTACTTATTGGGTCAATTTTGGTTGATTATCACTAGCTATGTGACAAGAAGGGACCAAAATGACAAGAAATTAATAGTACCACACTGAAGAAGAAAAAATGAAAGCCGGGGACCAAAAAAGGAACATCTTAATTATCATTTGGCCAAAAATGAATAATTTAACTTGGTGCAATGACCAAGTAGAATAGATCTTCAGGTGTATCTACACAATCTAGTTACTGCATGGACCATATCACTTCATGGTGAAACCCATTAAGATTGCAAACAATCCAGACCTTCCTTTAATGCAATAACTATAGTATAGTTACTACAAAGAATCCATCACTAATGATCACAGAATGACTGGCTCACCGTTTGGCTATGAGTTCAAGACTTCAAGCCACACAGTCAGCTTCTCCCACCAAACATGCTTCATAGATTTGGCTTTGGTTGAAGAGAATGAAGTGTAGGCCCCGCCTCTTATGAAGAAGTGTTCTTGAAAGTTAGAAAGTCAAACCTTGTAGCTACAAGGAATCTAGGATTGCCACAAACGGTTTCAACATTGGAAGAAAGATGTTTGGTATAGTTATCAACGTCTTTTATAATGCTAAGGAGCCGTTCCTTGTAGGCCATAGTAAGTCGTTTCTTGATGCTAAGTTCTGCTGTAAGTTCTTGAATTCTCTTATCTTTCTCATCCTGCACAAAGATTGCCGAGAAAACCAATTAGGAATTTCTTATATTTGATTTGAAATTTTATATTACGTAGTAGTATTTTTATCAAACCATCCAATTGAAATTCCAATCATGCTTTAAAAAGAAGCGACTTGGCATGAAAATTTGAAAAGTGCCTTTACAGGACAAATAATACTTTTAATGCTTACATAACAAAGCAGGAAAGAAGCATATAGGCGGGCTTTCAAAGAACAGTTTACTTAAGTCCTTGAATGAGATAGCACTTATAGCATTTATGGATGGGCTTTCCTGTTTGTGTGATAGCTTTCTTTTCTCCTAACCATTTCTAAAATGGGAGAAATATAGTTTTGGCTAGAAAAGAAAACCAAGAATGTTTTAAGGAAATCATGACCAAAAGCACAGAGGACTACCTATTTAGTACAACACTTACTGCTATATCTAAAAATGTTACACAACAGAACTTATTTCTGCAGCCTTAGTCGAATCATGCCATATAGTGATTTTATTTTGGCCAAGTGTTACTTGAAAAGCTTTTGAAAAATACAAACATGATATGCTTCAACATGCATATGTTATACTTGAGAGCCACATGTAAACAAACATTCACGATTCATCTATAGTTATAGGCTTATAGCTATACACAAAGAAGAATATAATTGCAAAGCTGCACACGAGGCCTAGAAAACAAATAGAATTATTTGAGGTGCGCTTGGATCCCATAAAACACCAAGGAAAGAAAATAAAGATAAGAAAATCTGCATTCTTGTGTTTGGCTTTACCTCAAATAAGCAAAAGGGTAATGAAATGTGAGTAATGTGTTTAAAAGATTCACACATATTTTGAGTTTTCAATTGGGCCATAAAATTCAGGATTGGATTTGGGAACCTCTATTGGGCCCTAAGACACTCAAAGTTTGAATCCAACCCTTTTGTTAGTCCATGCACTACTAGAATTTTCATCATTTGCGGCTCCCTATTTGCTGCGGTTAATTTTAATCCGCAGCAATTAACTTGAAAATGCATCATTATGTGCTGCGTTTACGGTGGAACCGCAGCAATTGGATCAAAAAAAAATTTAAAAGATATTTGCTGCGGGCTTATGGAAGCCGCAGCGAGAAGTGCGAAAATATTTGCCTGGCCTTGCTCCAAACCCTGCGCACACTTTTCTCCAACTTTGCCCAGACTTAGCAGATCCGCCGCCCCCTCCAACCGGCATCTTCCAGCTGCCAGCCGCGACCCTCTCACTCCGCCACACTCTGTCTCACTCCACCGCTCTGCCTCGCTCTGCCGTACTCCGCTTCGGTCCGCCGCACTTTGCCTCTCTCTGCCGCACTCCGCCTCGGTCAGCCGCACTCTGCCTCGCTCCGCCGCACTCCGGCGCCCCCTCCCAGTACATCCGATGTAAAAGCCTCCTCCTTTGCTGCTTAATAGAGGTTTGATTTCTAACATTTTGTCATTTGATTTAATTTATTGAATTTTATCTATTGTTTGATTAATATTGTACCGAAAATCACTGCGGCCAGATTTGTATTACTCAGTACATTGCTCAACATATTAGGTATTACACTTTAGTGAGGGCGAAAGAACATTGTAGATTTTATTATATAGTGAGAACGAAGGCTAAAAGTTTGGAGCAAGGGAGTTTTTTTTTTCTTTTCAAATTATAGATGCTGCAAATCATGTAGAGGTATTAACGTTTGTTGTCTGAATAATCAATTTGACCTTAACTTAAAAAAAGTGTATTTTTTCCAAGTAATTAATTATAAATCATAGCTAATTTGGTAGCCTACTTTGCTTTGCCTCACTGCTTGGATTATGTATTACTACTGAATGGTGCCCTCTTCTTTTGTTAAAATGGAATGTTATAATGATATGTCACTTATATGTTAGAATGAAATGTCACTGATTTTTATTTTAATATATGATTTTAATTACAAAATTTTTCATACTTTTTTTACGGATTAATGGAACTTTTAGTGAAGTTTTAAAAGTGTACTAATACTAGTATAGTTATTATTTTTTGGATGGATGGATTTTGTTCTGTAAAGATTTGCAGATTGATTGGAGCATAGAATGATTAAAAATGAGATTCTCAATTATTATATATGCTTGTTATTGTGAGTACAATACATGCCACGTTTGTCTGTTCCCTTTTGTTAAGTTTATGTTCAAGTTTTTCCGGAAATGTAGATTAAATAAATGAAACAATTGATTAGTTTCAGTTTCAATTAGTCAACTCAGATGTTTATTAAACAGGGAGTATAAAAAAACTTAAAACCATCTTAAATTGGTTTTCTTCAGTTTGACTAATATGATTTTATAAAATTTTCTGTTTTATTTGTAAAGATGAGTCGAAGCTGGATGTACGATAAACGGAACACATTGGAATTTATGAATGGGGTGGCTGAGTTTTGTAAACGTTGTTTAGAATATAGAGCGTTGGCTGGTTGTGATGAGTTATATTGTCCTTGTGTGGATTGTGCCAACGTAAATTCATTCCGGTCAATAGAGACAATCAGAGAACATTTAATTCGCCGTGGATTTAGACAGCAATACTATGTATGGATATGGCATGGTGAGAAAGGAGTATATACAGAAGATATAACAGATACAAATGATATGACAAATGTCCCAATCGTGATACCATCTGATGCTGAGGGTGTGAATAATGAAGGCAGTGAAGGTGAAGGTGAAGGTGAAGATGAAGACGAAGACGAAGGTGAAGGTGAAGGTGAAGATGAAGATGATCTGAGTGACGAAGTAGATCCTATGGATGAGATGATGGGTGGAGCCAAAGACTATTGTAGTGGACGACCACGTATTTTTGAAAGTTTGTCACAAGCAGCAGAAAAACCATTATACCCTGGGTGTACAAAATACACAAAGCTTTCTGCCGTGATAACACTTTATAATGTTAAAGCCAAGAATAATTGGAGCGACACAAGTTTCACATCCTTGTTGGAAGTATTACATGACATGCTTCCTGACGGAAATGAAATGCCGAAGTCTAATTATTATGCGAAGAAGCTCATGTGCCCTTTGGGTTTAGAGTACAAAAAGATTGACGCATGTCCGAATGATTGCGTCTTGTACCGAAATGAATACGACATGTTGAACAAGTGTCCACGTTGTGGTAAGTCACGGTACAAACGTGAATGTGTTGACTCAAACAATGATAAGAAAGGGCCACCGGCAAAAGTGTTGTGGTATCTTCCTATAATACCGAGGTTGAAGCGACTTTTTTCGATGAAGACAAATGCAAAATATTTGAGGTGGCATGGGGAGCAGCGGAAGAAAGATGGGATGTTAAGACATCCAGCGGACTCTCCCCAATGGAAAACTATTGATGCATCATTTCCGGATTTCGGCAAGGAAGTGCGGAATGTAAGACTAGCTCTATGTACGGATGGAATGAATCCATATGGGAGCTTTAGTAGTCAACATAGTACATGGCCGATTCTTTTGGTTATATATAACCTGCCGCCATGGTTGTGCATGAAGCGCAAATATATGATGTTGTCGCTTCTAATATCTGGACCTAAACAACCCGGGAATGACATTGATGTCTACCTCGCTCCTCTCATTGATGATCTGAAAACATTGTGGGATGAAGGAGTTTCAGTCTTTGATGCACATACTCGTGAGTACTTCACATTGCGTGCCATGCTGTTTTGTACAATCAATGATTTTCCCGCATATGGGGATCTGTCCGAATATAAAGTGAAAGGAAAGAAACCTTGTCCCATTTGTGATGATGATTTAGACTCCACATATCTACCTCATTGGGGGAAGTATGTGTATATGAAAACCCGAAGGTATCTTCCTCGACATCACCCTTATCGCAAGAAGAAGAAAGCATTTGATGGAGATATTGAATTGAGATCTGCTCCTAGACCCTTAACTGGAAGGGAAGTTTATGAACGTCATAAGGGTGTTGTGCATGTCTTCGGCAAATCAAAAAAGAAAAGAAAAGAGTCCACGTCTTTATGGAAAAAAGAATCCATATTCTGGAAGCTTCCTTATTGGCAACACTTGACAGTTAGGCACTGTCTTGATGTGATGCACATTGAAAAAAATGTTTGTGATGCTATTATTGGGACACTATTGAACATCCCAACAAAGACAAAAGATGGCATACAGGTCCGGAGAGACATGCAAGAAATGCAAATTCGACCTGAATTGTGGGTGCAAGATAAGAGCGACAAAGGGAAAAAGAAGTCTTCATTTACTCTACCTCCCGCTTGTTACACCCTGTCTGCAGCTGAAAAACGAATCTTTTGTGAGTGCCTTTACAATATTAAAGTTCCTACAGGGTACTCTTCCAACATAAAAAAGCTTGTCTCTCAGGATGGTGTGAAATTAGTTGGGATGAAATCTCATGATTGTCATGTTATGATGCAAGTTTTCTTGCCCATTGCAATTCGTGCTATCTTGCCAAAACATGTCAGAGTTGCTATCACAAGACTGTGTGCCTTTTTTAATACAATATGTAACAAGGTTCTTGATCCAGAAGCATTGGTTCGAGAATGCAAGCTGATGTTATTGTAACACTATGTCAATTTGAAATGTTTTTCCCACCTTCATTCTTTGACATAATGATCCATCTAATAGTACATTTGGTTCGAGAAATCAAGATGTGTGGTCCAGTATTCTTGAGGTGGGCGTACCCATTTGAGAGACACATGTCTACACTAAAAAGTAAAGTGCGAAATCCTTCTCGACCTGAAGGTTGTATCATCCAAGGAACTATAACGGAGGAAGTTAGCGAGTTCTGTGCCGAGTACTTATCCAACACGCAACCTATTGGGCTCCCAAAATCTCGACATGAAGGAAGACTTGAAGGAAAAGGAACCATTGGTGCCAAAGAAATCTTACCTTCTACAGAGAAGCAAAATAAAGCCCACTTGTTTGTGTTGCAACACCTTTCCGAGGTTCATCCATATGTGGAACAACATTTGCGTGAGTTGGCCTTGAAGTATCCATCTAAAGGTGAAAGAGCACTAA